AAAAAAAAACAAAAAATTTCATTTTTTAATTCCTGGGCTTTTTTTTTTTTTTTTTTTTTTTTTTGTAAAAAGTTTTACGTTGTCAAATTGTTATGGTGTTTGTGTATCCAAAAACAAGTGAATATCATTCTTTTTCCCCTTCTTGTTGTTGTTGTTGTTGTTGTTGTTTTTTGATTTTCATTATTCGAATTTGTTGTAGTGAAAAAAAAAACTAAAATAAACAGAGTGAAAATTGTGTGTGTGAGTGAGTGAGAGAAAGAGAGAGAGAGAGAGAGAGAAAAAGTCTAAATCCAGACATCATTGATGGATACAACAACATCGACATCGACATCGATGTAATGAACAGGTAAATTTCTCTTTTGGTTATATATTTTATTTTTGTTCAGTGGTCGGTTTGGTTAGTTTGTTTGTGGTTTTAGACTGGTAGTATCATTTTATTCAGTTTAATAATAATGATGATCTCCTGTTGATGATTTTGTGTATCGTCGTCGTCGTCTTTTTGTTGTCATTTTGTTTAAATTAATTTTCAATTCAATGTTTCAATCAAATGTTTTAGAATTGCTGTAGAAAATTCTCAATTTTTTCCATATCTTCATCAATAACATTTGTTTTAATTAATTAATTAATTAGTTTTTTTTCGTTACTGGGAAATAATAATAATTACCAAACAAGCAATATCGAACAAGCAAATGTATGGGTGTGTGTTTTGCAACAGCAAAAACATTTGGGAAAAAAAACTCCCAAAATACATTTGTGATGCATTCATTGGCAGTGATTTCCAACAACAACAACAAAAACAAAAAATGTTGATCAATTCATTTTTGATAAACATTGTCAATGGTAACGATCATCATCATCATAATAATAACCTCGACATTACCATAAACCAATAACGCGCAATCAACCAACCAACCAACCAACATCATCCATTGTTTTTCCATATTGTTAGTGCCAAAAACAAAAAAAAATGTTATTTTTCTAAATTTGGAAATACAGTATTTTTCATTATTAGTATTTCACAATGAGAAAATTCCAGACTACCAAAAAAAATGAAATAACCATATCATCATCGCTTGTTTGCTAAATGAGTGCATAAATCAAATTCAAAAAGAAGAAAAGAAAAAAATCATTATTAACAACAGTAATCCATAATGACTATATTTAGTCTGATGTTGTGAACAGATATATTTAATTAACATTCATCATCATCATCATCATCGTCATTAATTGATTTGACTGATTCAATCGATAGTTTTACATACCAAAAACAAAAAGATATTCTCATAAATAAAATGTAATTGATACTGGATGTTTATTGTTGTGTCATCTAAACATACATCCATTGTATAATTGGGGAGGGGGGACAAAAATTGTAATGAAATTTGAGAAATTTCTTCTTCTTCTTGTTTTTCCTCTCTTCCTTCATTCATAATAATCATACATCATATGACATCATCATCATCATTCACATTGACAATCGATTTCATATTTGGTTGGTTTGTTTGTTTGTTAATAATAATCTTGAAAAAAAAAATGGTGAGATTTTCCCTCCTCATCCTCCCCCACACACACATAACGATGTTGTTGTTGTTGTTGTTGTTGTTGCCATCATCAATATCATTATCATCACCATCGCTACCATCAGATCAATTGTCAAGCCAAAACAAGCCAATCTAAAACGATATTTGGAAAGCCAATTTTTTTCTTTCTCTCTTTTTTTCAAATAGAAAATATTTTTCTCTCTTTTTTGTATTTCATTCTGAAAAAATTTCTTTACTTTTTTTTAAATGTCACACATATATGATTGGTTCGTATAAACTCAATGTTTTTTGTTTGGAGATCATCAAATGATCAATATCATCATCTTCATCATCATCATTCGACAATAACATCATCAAAGTCCTTTTTTTCCCTGGATTATTATTGTGTGTTTTATGCATTTTTCATTTCTCTCTTTCTATTTTTTCTCATTCACTATCTCAGTCAGTCAGTCAGTTTTTGTTTGCATCCTTTTATGGAATTTGAACGAAAAAAAAAGAAATTCCATTTGTCATTGCAAAAGAAAACCCATTCATTTCATTTCATTTCGACATTCATCATTAATATTTGTTGAAATTTGAATTTGAATTTTGTTATCGAAATTATTTGTTCAAATATAATCCGAGTTGCCGGTTATCGATTTGTCAAAGGTGACAAAATAAAAACCCTGGAAAAAATTCTTTTTCACTTTATTTTCAAACATCATCATCATCATTAAATTATTCGGCATACATACCAAGGTATATCGATGAAAACTTTCTCTCTCCTCATTCAAAATTCCAATAAAGTTTTTTATTATTATTATATCTTTGAACGATCAACGATGTCATCATCATCATTGCTTTTATTTGAGATTTTTATTGAAAAAAAATTATCAATTTTATTATCAATTTATAAGATTAAGGTCTTGTATTTTTTTTCTTTCTTTCTTTCTTCAAATAATTAAGTTCATCACCGCAATAATAACGGGGAAAAAATTTCCGGGAAAATTTCCTAGTTTTTAAACAAAATTTCATTATTCTCTTTTTTTTCCCTCCATTCACTTTCTTTAAAAAAATTTTTTTTTGTTCACTTTTTTGAATTTCTTAACCATCCT